CATGATTACACATATAAATGTAGATGAACACCCAAACAGTTGTGTGTAAAGCTAATACGTGTACAGCCTATTAGGTATTATCATAAGACCTCTTCTACAGTGATAAAAATAGACTTAGCATCACTAAAAAATAATTAGCTCTGATATTTTTTTAAAATTCTCACTTAAATTTACTTGTGCAGTATACAAATTGTGCACTTTTGTGTAATTTTCTCCATAATTCTTGCACCGAGTTAATCAAATAGACAATAAATCTGTGATATCATTAATATGAAAGCAAATGCATATTAAAACACAGCAGTCTTCATTCCCATTTCTTTTGAATGTTTCCCTGACGTTGAGATTTGAATGCCCAACAGAGCTCACAGTACGGAAAAGATACACAGATGTACTTTTGTTGCACTGACCAGACAATGCAAGCAATGGCATTCTGCTGTAAACACCTGTAATAAAGGCAAAAAAAAAAAAAATCCATTTGTAAGATAATAAGCGAGTCTTCTACCCCAACCATACTTGCCAACTTCAACCTCAAAGTTGCTTCTGCTCCCTATTTTCATTGAAGATGTCACAATCCTGTTGGGAATCCTGGTTTGAAATGGCAGCCATTCTTGACTCCTTCTTCATTTCTCCTGTCTGATTAATCTCTCCATCCTATTGATTTTACCTCTATAATTTCCCTGACATTTCTTTTTCATATCATTACCCATTTCTTTTCTTCACCTCTACTATTTTAAGAACTTTCTAATTGGTCTCCTTGCTCTAAGCTGAGTTCTTTGAATCTGTCCTTGCTAGTGCCATCTTCCTAAACTATAGATCAGATGATACTACTTCCTTACCAGATATTTCCTGCTGTCTACATTGACTAGAGTAGTGGTTCTCACAAGTATCGTCTTAGAACCATCACCTAGGAGCTTTCTAGAAATCACATTCTTAGTTCCTAAGCAACATTTTTCTGAATCTGGAACTCTGATGGTGGAGCCAAACTATCTGTCTTATAACAACTCTTTCAGATGATTCTAACGTATGCTGAAATTTATAAACTACTGAGCTACCGGATTAAGTTCAGGTTTCTTGGCATGGTATGTCTTGTCACACCCACCTTTCTGATCTTATTTTCACCAGTGACCCTTCTCCTCCCCATCCCATTACACCACTCTCAGAACCTTACCCTTTATTGCCCTAACAGGGATATCCCATTGAGTTGAAACTTTCTCTTTCCATTTTAACAAGTTTTGATTCGAAGCACAATTCAAATTCCATCTCTTTCTAAATTCTTTTTTATCTTCCCTATCAGATTTTTCTTCTCCGTTAATGTACGTGAAAAAATGGAAAAGAGTTCAGGCTTGAAATAGAACAAACCTCTTGTTCTGTGTTTCCTTAGCAGTGCTCTCTTTACTGTTGAAAAGTCTCCATTCTGCTTTTTCTTATTTATACTTATTGACATGTCTTTCCTCACCAGAAGATAATTTCTTCAAAGTTAATACTAGTCTCAGTGCTCTTTGTTGTATGTAGAACAGTGAGTTGCACATAGTAGGCAGTCAATATATATGTGAACTCACACGATAGGTGATTTGAATGCTAATGCGTGGTTGTTTCATTTGTTCATTGCTGCAAACAATAGCCCATTTGGAATTGCTTTCAATTTTAAGGACCTCTTATAACTTGCCATCTTTACAAATAGAATTCTGGAGTGCCTGGATGGCTCACTTGTTTTAAGTGTCCAACTTCAGCTCAGGTCATGATCTCATGATCCCTGAGTTCGGGTCCCGCATTGAGTTCTGTGCTGACAGCTCAGAGCCTGGAGCCTGTTTTGTATTCTGTGTCTCCCTCTCTCTCTGCCCCTCTTCCACTCATGCTCTGTCTCTCTCTCAAAAATAAATAAACATTAAAAATTAAAAAAATAATAAAAATAGAATTCGTTTCTGCTATATTTTATAAACAAGATGAAAATAAATATGTATCTTAAGCCTTATTACTCTCTTTAAAGCATCATTTGCAGAGTGGGTGTCCTGCCATCCAAGAAGCCTTTCCCCGTGGAGCTAAATTGGGAAAGAGATTAAATGTGATCACTGTATGTTTGGTTTGTTGCTCATCATGTTGATATTTAATCCAGCATTCAAAAAGCATCCCATAGCTATAAAATTCCTAAAACTGGCAATACTTTTTGTCCTATCTCTGTATGCACATATCCTTATCTACGTTGTGGTCCCAATAGAGGGATTTTGTGAATATACAGATGACCTAAGTTAATAGTGTAATAGTATGCCTAATAAATGTAAGACAGAATGCATTGTTTTTAATAAATCAACAAGGATTTACTGAGTTCTGAACTTTGTTTAGTTCTATGGAATGAAATTGTTCTGAGTCAAAAATTGTAGTGCTTTGCACTATTACAAAAGGAAGGAAAATTGCATAGTGTTAACGTTTTCTAAATTAGTAAGGTTAATTATACCTAGAAACAATAGTTATAAATGATACACATTTCCAATACCAATTTAAGCGAACATTTATTCAGTTGATCACAATGGTAAAGCAAATACAGAAGTGGAAATACCTATGGATTATAGAATTAGAGATATATTAAATTTAGGTTGATGGATGATGATAGGCAGATAGATGACAGATGATAGATGGTAGGTAGATACAAAGAAATAAAGGAAGGAGGGAAGAAAGAAGGATAAAAAAGAAAAAAAGATAGAGATAGGCATGAATATAAAGTCTCAATTCTCACAGTATTAATAGTTCAGTGATGAATGAAATACATGTATGCAAATATTAAACCAATATGATTCATGTTAATAAAGTATGTTAAATAGAGAACCCAGGGGGGCCTGGGTGGCTCAGTCGGTTAAGCGTCTGACTTCAGATCGGGTCATGATCTCACAGTCTGTGTGTTTGAGCCCCGCATCACTCTCTGTGCTGACAGTTCAGAGCCTGGAGCCT